ATTACTGAGCGTCTTAGGTCAGACGATACGATTATTAAATCGATCATCGACTTCTGTGCACAAGCTTCCCTGTGCCAAGTATACTGATGCACTCTTCAATGCTAGGAGGTGTTCATATGGACAGTCCGTTGTTTGCACAAAATCGCTGCAACTTCATGCCGTTGCTGTTGAAGTCACTAGGGCTGTTTTTTTTCAGTCACGCCTGTCTGCTCTGACATGCACACTAAAACCGTCCATTAAAGTGAAGCATTCTGTAGCCGGCACTTTGTGCAAGACGAACTCCATTTCCTCAAGATAGGATTCGTAGTCTCCCTTCAAACTAGGCGCATTGTCATCTAACAGGGTCATTTAGCCTCTTGAGACTTAAGTCAGTGGCTGCCACTTTTCCGCTGACGGGCTTCCATTCAGTGATTCTATCAGCCACATTGGGTTCTACCAGGACACCATCACTGGCATCTGCTCATTTCGTGGAGTTGGCACCTGAAGAGAATAGTTTTCACCCGCAGAGGTTCAGAATTCCAGATCCCTGCCGATTCGTTTTCGAGAGTGCGACTGTTTCGAGTCGATACCTTGCGCTTTCATTAACTAATTCCTGTTTTTTCCCTCTGAGTGAGGATATGTTCTGATTTCCGACTGTGAGCTCCCACTGTCGGTATCGTTACCGTGGAATCTTATTTGGCTTGTTGTAATGTCGTGCCGCTGTCTGCTTCCTCCGCGGCTATTTTTTGGATATTATCGTTGGTAGATGCCATCTTTGGTGAGTGTTCTTCTTGCTTCAGTTTTTCATTCGCCTTTCCTGCCGCGTCTGGTTTTGCGAATTCTTCCACCGCTTGCCATAGAAAGAACAGTAGCGAAGCAACGATGAATCTTGTTCAGCATATGCTGCAATTGAACGCTCCTGACCTTATCACACGTGATAGTGTAAATTTCACGAGGAACAGGTGGCTGAGTTTCACACGTGACTTCGCCATGGTCCGCCACCCTCCTCTCATCTGGGCTCGGGTCCGACAACAGCTGAGTTAGATACGTCAAGGGTAGACGTATGGAGAGTTTAGCTGTATTCTTGCGGTGAAAATCCTTAGTATATGCTTATGGCTCCTTTCGATCTAACAAATTTGAATGACATTCATTTTTTCAAGATTCCATGCGGGTTAGAGAGAAAACAAGTGTAACTTAATGGTCTGGGATAGCTGCCACGGATGGCAGCTTTTTGCCTGTGCCGCTGGCACATATCTTTCTTAGCTGATACCTGATTTACACGGCGAAAATTGTAAACTCAAGTAATTTACATTACAGCGATGGTGCGGTTGTGTAAGATGAACAGGAGCGGCTTACGTTACACCGGCTTGATCCGTAGCATTTCGCCACCCTCTTGCTTCTAGTCGCCGAGGGAGATCATTTACTGAGGTCACGTTGCCATGCTGCCTAAGGTTTATTTACTGGTTAGCAACAGCTGGCTTTTTAGATAGAAGGATTTTGGTTACATTTCGTATTTGTGTCTGAAGAACAGACGATAAAGCGGTATGTTTCCATCCTTTTAGCAGTGACATTTTGAATCGATTGGATCAGTTGGCAAAGCACATCATAATCATTATTGCGTTGTATTCTCGACTGACATTCCGTCACACTGCCTTTGTGAAACAAGATAATCTGATAAAAGCTTAATTGCTTTTCGTACCAAAAACCATAGTTGTTTTGTTAAAGTTTGTCTGTTCGGTTAGCGGCTGTAGCGGTACTGATTTTTTATCCAAATTTCTGCATGCGTCTGTGCATGACTTTCATATCAAATGGGTCATTTCTTTTCTACCAATTACTTCCTTTAGTACTGTCACTTTCTTTGAACTTTGCGACTCGTTTTGGGCTGGATCTAATTACGTTTTCGTTGCCATTCCCTCGCAGAAATCGAAGATCCGGATTTTTGCTTGACAAGCATAGCAGTCTTAAAGTTGGTCACGGAAGTTTTTATGCAGTACTTATGTTCACGAGGTCGCCTAAACCGTTCGTTGGTCACGGATGAGAGGGATACATCGTCCTGCTTAATTTTATTCTCCCTTTCCATTCTATTTGGCAACGACGTCTTTGATAGAATTGCATGCACTGATGATGCCCAATGGTTAATTATATTTACTGGCTTCGCATCGCAACTTCTTCGATGCGCTTTACAGAGCTGTTAATTTTATGAGTGCCATGCGGATATTTAAATTTAGCTCATTTTTAGTATTGGGAACTGCATCAAAATTAACTACAATCTATTTTGGTCTCTGTTAAAGTGCCAAAGCGTTTACTTTTCAAAGCGGCGTCGGACGTTCTTGCGTGACGTACAGATTAAAGCCGTAGTTCAGTTGGAACCTGGATCATCACAGATCGATGAAATTCAAAAGAAACAGAATATTGAGGATGACACAGATCCATCCTAGCAATCTTGAACGGCGTAGTGGGTACATTTGTCTGAAAGATTGCTTCGAATTCCGGAGATGCCGGATTCGATTCCGCTCGAAGGCAATCTGCCTTGTTCACAAATTTCCTTGAGCAAGGAATTTACCATATTTTGCTTTAGATCGGAGTTGCTCAGTCCGCAGAGTGTCGATCTCAATACCGATAGCTCCGGAGCTCAGTTCCCGATGGAGGTCACTTGCGCTTCTTCCTTCCGAGGTTGACAAATAAATATCAGTCTGTGAGAAGAAAGCAACAGAATTCACGTTACGTTTGTTACATGGCTATAGCCTCTTCCTTTAGGAATAAGTTACTCCTAGCAGATGGCATACAAATGGAGATCAACACGGCATCTTCAACTTCATTTAAAAAAATTGGCATCAGAAAGGGGCAGTCATGAACGTAAAGGAAGACTGTCATATGAATGGTGACGAATCCTTCCTTTTCTAGCCGTCTTCGTCTTACGCCTTGTTTTGATCAGGGCTGCGCTTCATGTTGACTGTGCGTTTTTGATAGCACTGATCAGCATAATGTATCGAAGTTAATAGGTGTTTGAAGTAATTTCACCTAGTTATGTTGAACTTCAGAGACTTACTGAATCATATCTTTTCCTCGATAGCCAACTTTGCCGTCACATACGAAAGAAACCAACGTAATTATGCACTGTATAGAAATATTCCATGAATATTAGGGCAGGAATTGCAGTAAAGTAGTAAACAGCTTTCCGTAAACTAATCCAAGTAATCCGGTTTTCAGTTTTACAGTGGTTCGTAGCTCTCTCCGCGTGAGAGGTTTATTCGACACCCTCTGTCGTCGTGCAGTTTGGGTATGATATCATTTTTATAGGAAACTGCTAAATTTGGATGATAGGCATGCCGTTGTTACTTCGTATCTTTTCGTGAAACGTTTGATTCTTTCATCTACGTTCTTATTGTTCAGAATGACTAGGATAGGTGGCTTCGAAATCTTCTCTCTGTTGATTGTCATTCCTTCTCGGTTGTTAATTCTGTTTAACTTCCGGTCAACTTTGTTGAATGGTTCTTGGATGAAGATTTGATGTCATTTTTGTCATTTCGGTCACAAAGTGGTTTTTCTTCTGATGGAATATGACAAAGTGTTGCCTTTCGGAACTATAGTTTCTGAACCACTCTTGTTTCATGGTTGTCAGGGTACGGCAGTGAAAATTCTGTTAGTGGTTGTAGTTTGGTGGTCAGTACCAAGGTATACCGGATACGGAAGTACTCTCTCAGATTCATGTGTCTGAATTATTAAAGTACGGTATAGAAACCAGGTTTGATTAGATCTGTCTGAAAACCCTGGGTTAGTTTAATGGCGAATATTAAGCAGTAAGGCAGTTTGTGAATGCAGGGCAACTGTGCCATCTAATGTTGCATTGTGCTAGTGCGGATAATAAAATATTCGTTATATGTGGAAAGCTATATTTATGAAGCAGGCGAACAAAAGCCCGTGGAAAATGCCACGGTGTAAATCAACAGCAGTTTCAGATTGTAGAATGTGGATGATAGCTTGTTAATAGAAATCTGTCATGGGTAATGACGTTAAGAAAGATAATGGTTTTTGGTACATTTTTACTTAATGCCATAAAGCTATCATAAGGATAGACGATAGCCATCTAAAGCAAGCGTACTGACCAATTACACTGGCTAGTAGCTATCCGCAGGTTAATCCGTGACGTTAAAATCGCTATTTAAATCGCTTCCAAACAGCAATTGAAGATATTAGGGTTAAATTACGTGTAAATTTTAGGCGGAGGATACTTTAACAGACGAGATTTCCATTTAACTGATGTGCTGTTTGCTGTTTAGCTTTATTTCCGAATGAATGCCTATCAAATTATGAGTGTTCTGTTTGATTCGTCTATAAGTTTTGAAAATTAATGGCTGACTTCCATATTTATTTTAACCTTATTTAGTGTCAGTAATTGAAATGTATTTGCCGGCGGGACTGAAAAGCTGTATTTCGTGGAAACTACCTTGGAGCATCATGGTTGTACTTTGTGTCATACTTCGTTTGTACATTTGCCTACGGAGCATGGCAAATTTGGTTTGTGCTCGGGCATACCTTTGTTGAGTTCAACTCAGAGATGTTCTCCTGCACCCAATGCACTACAGTTGCTTAAATACCACGCATCCATGTCCTGCATAAATAGTCAAGGTGACAATGACTTTGTATTCTGTAAATCCGGTTTCGTATTGAAATGCTATTTTAACCTTATATTGCAGAATCGGTACCTACAGTAAGTATTACTCTTCAAGAAACATGATTTATACCCTCTCAAGGTAGAACGATTCTTTAGCTAGTCACCCGTGCTGCTTGCAGTGATGCCTCGTCATTGCAGGTACGTTTGCGTCGCTATCTGGTTATAAAACTGTTATCTGTTAGGTAATATTCGAAACTGCAACTTATAAAGCGAATAACTGCTGCAAGACCAGATTTCGTGACGCATTGCACCGCCCTTTTGCTTCTTTTTGCGGAGGATACCAGTCGCAGTTTTACCAAAGCTCAGCTGTTGTTTCGTTCATGACGTTTTAGCTGCTGGTTTTCGTTATAGGCTATCGCATAACTATCTGATATATAGGTTCCCTATGTCAGAATGTGCCTCCTAGGTGGAAAACTCCTCCAAAACAAAATTACTTTCACCGTGTGTTTACTACTCTGTTAGTCCTAATTGTTTAGAAATCTGGTGTTTAACAAAATATTTGGCATTTAACCCACTCCAGCGTAAAAATCTATATTTTTGAACCTAACGCTACAAAAAATAAAATAATTATTAGTTAAGAATTTCTGTTCAGTTCCCAAAGCATAGGTTGACACGCTCGTTTTATCGTGGATCAGTCCAGCTTTGCTGGTATCGCGGAGTTCAATCATTTATTTGCTTTCTGAGTACCAAAACTAATTAATCAGTAACTACGAATCAGATATCAGCATTCCAAGTTGTTTCGCGATCTGTGCAGTGAACTTCTGAAGTTGGTTCTGAAACTGCTTCTGCCGTACCGTGGCCGACATTAAATGAAGTTCAACGCAAACCGTTTATTCAAAAAGGCTCATCATAAACCTCATACAATAAATGAGCAATTTATGCATATGCTGTTGCGCTACTGGTGCATATACAAGGTAAGAACCGAACCGGCTTGAATTATGACGCACAAAGAGTCTGCACATAGTCCACTCTTTTGCATAGCTTTCTGTGTATTCTTTCTAAAATGTTCGAAACGGCCGGGATCTGCTTTTCGTTGAGAGCTGTGTCAATACAGTAGCCAAAAGCCGGGATCAGATCGTCTAGTTTCAAGTCTTCGTTGCAACTGCAGCGTTCGACGATACCCCGGTGATGGTTGAACGCCTTTCTGCACTCCTCAGACAGCCTGACAAGGCAAAGTATTCACTTAACAGTACACAAAGCTTGTCTTACCCTAGGAAGCACGTCGATAACTTGTCGCATATCGTTTTCACGATCGTCGCTCGTTCGTTGTTCCTCCATTCGATCACCCCACTGACGCAAGCTTTTGCGTTGCCCTGGCTTTCTTTCGGACAGATCAGTGG